ACGAAGATCTTACCAGGCCAGAAATTCAAGCATTTTGTCGAACAACTTGCACTCGTCGACATCAGAAGTGTCCTTGAGACGCAAGATGAATCCGATAGCGACTGATTCGAACGCTTTCTCGCTCCTTTATTCTAATTCACAGTTTGAAAATGTTCAACCTGGGGGGGTATGTCAAGGTCAAGTCGCTCATTCAAGGCAACAGCCATTGCTATACTGCTGCCTGCCAGGCAGCAGTATTACAACAAGTATTTAGTTTCGTATTATTCCACTCTTTATGTAGGAAATCAAGAGTCTCTCGTTTTGCCCAAGCTGTCCCATACAATCGTGTGTGTGACATGGTATGAAACCTAAAACCTTGGAAAATCTCAGGTGCTCAGTACTCGGAAACACTGTCGCCGCTTGGTGTGAAGGTCGGTCTCAATACCAGAATTGTACTTTTTGATGGTTCTCAAGTTCCCTAGTCGGCTCAGACCAAACCGTTGTTCCGAAGATTGCACGGGCCACAATTATTCACATGATTACTGCAGAAATCATGACGACTCCCTTCCATCCGCGCCCTACAGGTAATGGAATGCAGCAACCTCAATCATTCTAGGACTCCAAATATTCCGAACCTTAGCGACTGGTATAGAGCCCCATTATTGCTTACGCAATTTATAGAGTTGGTAAGTCTTTAGTGGTTGCCCCTTTATGCTCCAAGAATGGTGGTTCCTAATGAAGCCTGGGTATCATCATCAAGCCAAACACTATCTCGGACGTGCGACGTGAATGAGGCGATCACTGTATAATTAGTGCATTCCGCGTCAAAGTCTCATCGTAAACACAGTCGGGCATGGCTCTCAAATCAGCCAAGGCCACTGCGATAGTGACGAGACGTGAGATGCTGTATATAACGTTGTTCACGATGGTTAAACTCGGCCACAACGGCCAGCGCCACATTTATCTCCCCTAGCTCAGTCATAGGCCTATTGAGGTACATATCCGTCCTTGCAGCCGGTTCTTCGTTGCCCTCGCCGCTACTGTCTCTGTGAGAAGTACCAATTTCGCAGCGTTTTGCACTGCTACGGGCAGCCCTCAGTTTTATTCTTGTATTAATTACGCTTTTTCTGAATGCCTTAATGAAGCTCTTCAAGATCCTCTGTGATAAAATCTTGGAAAAGAGAAATATACTTGATAGAGCCTTCCCGTACAAGTTCCTTTTAGGCCACAGATGTTGCTTAAGAGGGTTTTCCGTTTTCAAGATTGTTCAAAATTCAAGGCATCAAGGTTGAAGTTTATTGGCTTGTGTCTTCCGTTTTTGGCTCTTGCCTTGAATAGACAACGGGAGCTAGAGATATAGCAGCAGCATGGCGACAAGGGCAAGTCCAGGAATAACGTCAAGCAATGATGTCCGGGTATTTCTACTGAATTTAGCATATTGTTGAGTCTTATTACGCTATGTGGTGGAATTTGGAGCTAAAGAAGTATAAACCAACGCTGCAAAACTACATGGATTAGTATACATATCCCTTTCTGGGTTAGGAATATGTGACTGTGCTTCAAGCAGCCTTGTCTGGGAGCCTGAACGTTTGGTATTCTGTCGATGTCTCAGAATAGTCCACGTAAGCATGTAAGCATATGCCAAGAACGAGCGAATGGGCTCAGATGGCTTGCCTGCACAACGAATTGAGATTTCGCCTTCAACCACCATCCTAGGCGCATTGCGATTCAGGGAGGCTGTCAGATGCAACGTTCATCCTGCACTGCCCATCAATGTGCAGGACCAGCTAGGTCAACAGCGGAACGACAGCGCCTCACAGGCAGTCATCCGAACAGGCAGACTTCTCGTGGCGTCACACATACCATATCATAGATAGCATTTGCATGGTAGAAACGGTAAGAACACATCTCAACGTGCTGTTAGAGTTTATCTCTGGCCTCAAAGTAAACACATGCAGCTCCAATACAAGTTGGAGTGCAAGATGCCCCCCAATTATCACCCCATTCTTGTTTTTGACGTTGTATAACACTCAGCTGATGACTTTGCAAGCCTCACTTTCGCATTGGGCACATTGATGCCCAGCCACTTGGTGATTCTGTTACTCTACGTAAGATTCCAAGACACTGACCACTCAGTCCGGTCGTGTCCAGATTCACCAATCTGAATGGGACCCTTATAAGATTGGTCGAAGCCCTCTGGCACTGTAGTCAACTTCAGATTTCTCCAAGTCACCAGGTGGTGTGGCTGAAAAGCAATAAATGGCGCTCAATCCACAATTCAACGCCAAAAGCGAAAACACCCTCGCCTTTATCAATGTGAAACAGGACTTTGCACTTTTCAAAGTTGAGATTCCCAAACCGTTTGAAGGATTGGGAAAGGCACTCTCACACAATCGTCGACAAAATGCGGAGTCTGGGCCACAACACAGAGTAGCTCGCAGGCTCGGCGCCTTGTTCGAGCAGGTTATTCCGAATATTGACGTTCTTTCTGCTGCTTATGGGGAGCGGGTCTCAGAAATTGCTACCTCGTCTCAGTTCGACCTGAGGGTATGTACTTATCCATTGTCTTCCCATGTCCTACACATATACTCATATGGATTTGATCATGAGAGCTGAAATCTAATAAAGAATGTCGACCATGGCCCATTTTCCGGGCATGTCGGAGTAGATGGCACTTCTATATATGCCGCGGTATCCTCCGGCAAAAGTATCATCGCGCTGCATCTGCTCGCCTGCATGCTAGCTCGAATGTTTTCCGGCGCCGAAGCAACAGCCATCTGGGTGCAGCTTGTTGACTGTCGCCTGAAAGAAATCCAGGAAGCCTCCGAGGCTTCCCAACTACAGGGTATTGCAGCTCTGTATGCTGCGGAACAGGGGCGCCAGATACTGCGAGACGATTTGGCGAGCTGGGATGCCAGCGCACGCGCCTGGTTACAGACAGCCAATGAAGCGAAGAAGCGCGAGGATACGCAGTTGAAGCTTATTGTTAGGAATCTTCTCTCGATACATAATTCCGGTACGACCTACTCCAACGTGATAGAGAACTGGATCGTGGCCATGAAGACCTGCCAGAACTTGATCCGCGGCGTGCCACAAGATGTAACAAATGGCGCAGTCCTCTTGGGACTCATGTCCTGGCACATCTACCCAGATCTGAATATCTTCTGTCCAGACCGATATGTCGCATTTAATGACCGGCTCGTCAAAGCTGGAGGCGTCATCACTCTTGGGTTAGAATCTCAAGATAGAAGCCTCTCCGGAGTGAGCTGGTCAGTGTCACTTTCTCATTTGCGTTTCTATGGAGATCCAGTTGTAATTGAGAAATCATCTGAAGACAGCGACCGGATCACAGTTCAAGAGCTCCGCTACATCACACTTGGATGCGTATTCGGGAGCTGGACTTGGCCAACGTCAATCAAAGTTGAGGAAGCCGCAGAATGCTTGGCGGCGCTCGGAGAGGCTCTTGAATGCCATAGAAGCCCAACCGTCGAGAAAGTTTATGGTTCCTCTCTTGGATGGATCACTCTCCTCACTGACACAGCCAAGTGTTTCCTATCTGCTGTTGACAAAGAGAGAGAGACGGCGCTTTATTTCATCGAGTTTGGGAGACGTCGAGGCCGAAATTTCCTGGATGATGAATTTCGAGATGTTATTCCTATATTTGGGCTCCTTAATCCATATCTTCTGTTCAGACTTTCTCCCGACTTTAGCGCTCAACGGCATGATTGGGAAAGATCTATTATCACGCTCCGCCGCCTCGCTCAGGATACTAAGCTACATCCCGACGATTGCATAATCATTGCTCAACCTTGTTTTCGTCTCCTCAATGACCCAGTGAGCGAGAGAGAAGATGGTTCTGAAGGTAACTGGGAATTTGCTTCTGCAATTCCTGTGGCTAGGCGCAGCAGAAAGCGGTCTCACGATGGAGACCAACGCTCTCTACAACGACATAGTCGTTGGGTTCATATAAACTGCACAAATGATCCTCTTGTACAGCGGTATTTCGATATCCCCAATAATGATGCCAATGAAGTCCTCCCTGGCCGGCGTTGGGGTAATAAAGGACGCCACCAGGTAGATCTGGATGAAACAAGCCTAGAAGCAACCCAGGCTTGTAATTGTGTATCATGGGGGGCACATATGGGGACTTATCAACACGATTGCCCCTGCGTCCTACGAGGGTTCGTGTGCACGTCGATGTGTTCATGTTTATCTAGTTTTGCAGGCGTTGAGCGGACTTTGCGATGCACAAATGTCCGAAGCTGCATGTCAGCCTCAGGGCCCGTGGATGAAGATTGCTTCTGGCTCTCCGTGAGAAGCACTTTGCACATTGACAACATTGGTATACTGAATTCTCGAGGAAGTAAATTCGAATGGGTTGATCCCCCCAGAAAGTATGTTGAGAGACAATCTAATGCTCTGAAAGCAGCATGTCCTTCGCCTAGTTGTGACATTGCAGATGGGGACTTTTTTCTTAGAATATTATAATATAAAAAACTTAATACCGCCCTTAAAATAAAAGTAATAATATTATAGAAACTTAGTAATATTATTCTAATATTAGTAAAAAAAATAATATATAACCAAAAATAAGTATATAATATTAATACTTAAATATTATCT